TTTTTTCCACTTATCGCGGGTCTTCAGAGTACGGATCCCCCTCCATAATTGAAAGACTACTGTATACAAGTTACCATTCTAAAACTCGTAGTTCTCATTGTTATAAATTTTCTTCAGCGTCAATGGGCGGCTGTGGCTGAGTGGTTAGGGCAGTCGTCCTCCAATGCAAGAGTTGGGGGTTTGAATCCACCAGCAGTCACATGCCCAAGTGTTCCTGGGCAAGACACTGAACCCCTCATTGCCTCCAATGTGTGTCCCATCGGTGTATGAATGTGATAAATCACTGATTAGTCTCTTTAGAATGATTTGTTCAGTTTTGTATAAATCTAGTAGAGTGCTGTATGAATGAGTAAATGAAGCACTTTGAGTGTCTTGATAAGATAGAAAGGTGCTATATAAGTACAGTCCATTTACCATTTAACACCAAACATGTTTTTTTTCCCCAACCATTTGCGTTATGTACCTTGTTTTGCCTGTACCTAAACCACTCCATTTTTCATGCAGATATTCAGGGACGTGCCAAATTGTGTGGGCAGTTCAACCAACATGCAGCCCAACCAGTCTAGGAGGAAAAGCGCTGAAAACAAAGCACCATCCTGCAGCGAGAGGCCTCTCACACTCTTCCACACGCCAACACATTCCCAGAAAAGTGAGCCCTGGGCAGAAATTACATACTTCTAATTATTCTTATTTGAATATGGTATGGTATAAAGTTTATTCATTTAAAAAAAAGTACAAAACAATTCCATAACAATATAAAAAAAAAGATACAAAAGATTTAAAATGAAAGGCAGCAGAAAGAAGAAAAAATCTTATTATATCTGCCCCTTTTTTCAAACAATTATTTCAATCATAATAATTTTCAATATATAGTTTGTAGGCGCAGACAATTTCGCTTTTAATCTGGTCCGCCTAAAGCCACAGTTTTGCATCTAAACCCACCACTAAGAAGTTTTTAAATATATATATTTGTCCCCCTAGGTGAAAAGAGGAACAGTGTTGGCAATACCACAACTAATGACCTGCAGCACCCAGTTTCTACTTCTGCTAACTGTACCAGTAGCAGCAGCAGCAGCAGTGGCAGCAGTGGGAGCCACAGTCAGGCCCTGAGACACAGCTTAACCAGCAACGAAGGAGAGCAGGACGGCCGGCAAATTCGACCCAGCTCACTGTGAGTAAAGTTTAAACAGCTAAAGTTTCTCCTGGTAGTTCCTCGTCCTGCAGATAGTTTGAAATCACAAAAAATAGTGGTTTTATTTATATAATTTTAAGACAAATTTCACTTTCTGGTGATGCTGAAAGAGGTTTGACAAATATTATTCATTTAATAGTATGAAAATGGGGGAAACATGCAAATGTTAGAAAAATATATATTTTTATTTTTTCTTTGTTTAATAAGTCACGTTACTCATTTACAGCCTAACGTGAACAAGCCGTCAGAAACGATGTTTAAAGTTGTAAAATTATACCTTTGAAGCGTGTTTTCCTTGTGTTCTTTTACCACTGCATTACTTATAAAAGAGGGGGAAAAAAGCTTCTGACAAATGTTTTAACTTTTTATCTGTAATTTTTTTACTTTTTTGCACTTTTATTTTCTCACTCGATTAAAACAAACAAAAAAAAAGAGCAGCATGGGGTCAAACCTCTGTGGGTTTTGCGTGTATAAGCTTTGGAGTTTATTTTAGAGTTGCAGATATTGGTTGAGTGACTTCCAGCTACTTAGCTATCCACCAAAATGTTCCCGCTACACTTTGGGGACGGAGAAAGTGTATTTTGAGATCTGTGGCTGGAGCTGGTGAAGTGTGAATCTCAATCGGGCTGCTGAAGCAAAGATAGTCATGATGAAAAGCTTATGCTCTTGGCAGGGCGTTCGTTTAAAGAATCTGTCTGTGGAGAATGTCTTTGTTGGCTTACTGACGAATTAAAAGATGGAAATTCCTCAGTGCTGTGTTTTGTACAATAAAACAAGTAATACTATGAAAAGCGGATCAAAAGGGCAATAAAACTCTAAAAGTAAATGGCAGATATGCGAGTTATTGATCAAAAGAACTGCAACAAACTCAGCCAAATCAGAAAAAAAAGTACTGGTAATTTATTAGAAGGTAGACTGTGGTTTCCTTATGGCTCAGTGCCAATGAACTAAAAGTACCTTAAGTTGGACAGAAGTGGTTAGAATAGTGTGAATGTTTACGAAGCATTCACACTATTGTGATCCATTTTTCTTTCATACATTTTTCAGCATCTTTCTTATTCCACAGTTTTTATGCTGTTTCAACAAATCATAACTCAAAACCTTCAGGACAATCCTGCTATGGTGCAACTTTAGCTTTTTGAAATATTTAGCCTTTTCTGCCATTTTTTTTTCCTTAAAGAAAATGAATTGAGCTCATTATACCCCCTTCAGCTCTTTAGATTTGTTTACAACCTTTTACTGCTCCTTTCGCATTTTGTTCTGGTTCAGCTTCTTTTAGCGTCCTTGTGCAAATTAACTTTTTTCAGCTACTTTCAGCTGTTTTTTTCCAGCTGTTTTGTGCTCCTTTCAGTCATTCTGCTAACAGTTAGCAGCTAACTAGAACATTTTTGTGCTTCTTCTAACTTCTTTCTGCTAATTTCAGCTCATTATGGTCCTTTCAGCTTATTTATGCTAGTTTCTACTTATTTTTTTGCTATTTCAGCTACTATTTAGCTGTTTTATGCTAAGTTTAGACTTTTCAGCTAATTTCACATTTTTTGCACTCATTTCAACTTTGTTCAGCCTAATTCGGTAACAATGTGCTCTCTCCTCTTTCTTCTGGTAATTTAAGCTTCTTTCTGCTTTTTGAGCTACCAATACTTTTCGACAGTTTTTTGCAAATTTGAGTTTTTGTTTTTTTTACAGTAAATATCCACTTCTTTATGCTCATTTCTGCTTCTTTAAGCCTAATTGGGCAAATGTGTTCTTTCAGCTTTCTTCTGCTAATTTAAGCTTGTTCTATCTTTTCAGCATTTTTTGTTTGTTTTTTTTAAGCATTTTTAGCTAATTTCAGCAATTTTCTTATAAATTCAAGTTTTTCATGTTAATTTCTGCTGCTTTCAGTCTGATTAAATTATTTATGCTAGTTTCAGCTTGTGATGTTCCTTTCAGCTTTTTTCTGCTCTTTTAGCTACTATTTACTATTTACTTTTCTCTAATTAATGAGTTTATATGCACAAAACTATATAAAATAAAAGTAATTTTTTAAATTGTATTTCAACTTGTTAGCATCTGACCATTTTGTAAAAGTTCCATCACCATCACACATGCTGTAATCCCACCAGCACAAGTGAGGCACAATTTGAGTTTTTTCAGCCAAGTCCACTTTTTAAAACATATTTTAGCTAATTTCAGTTCTTTCTGCTTCCTTCTGGTAGTTTTAAGCTTCTTTGTGCTTTTTCAGCTATTTTTTAATAATTACATCTTTTATTTTAGCTAATTTTTGTGCTAATTTCTGCTAATTTAAATCTAATTCAGCAACGCTGTTCTTTCTTCTTTCTCTGCTGGCTTATTCTTCCATTTCAGCTACCTTTTAGCATGTTTTTAGCTAATTCCATCTGTTTTTCAGCCAGTTCTTCAGCAATAAGCATTCACACTACATTTTCACTGGAAATGCAATTTCTCTAATTAATGAGTTTATATGCACACAACTATATAAAATAAAAGTATTTTTTTTAATTGTTTTTCAACTTGTTAGCATCTGACCATTTTGTAAAAGTTCATCACCATCACACATGCTGTAATCACACCTGCACAAGTGAAGTACAATTTATTTTAGACATAATTTATATATTTTTCAACTAAAATGTCTCTGTGGCGTTCAGAAGACGAGCTGAGCCTCTGTGAATAACACGACACACTGCTGGCTTGTGGACATGAAGTTACTAGCTACTAACTGAGCAGAGTGGTCATAAAACATATTGACAGATGTGGCAGGCAGATCAGCTAATGGCAGCTTCTGGCAGGTTTTCCTGGAAAAGTTCTGACAGCTTTGGCTATGACCGTAAGCGTCACTGCTTGCCTCTGTTAGCCTTTTGAGCTTTCTGTCTCTGAGCGGAAAGATCTTCCAGCATGAACCTTTTCAAAGATTGTTAAATGCAAATAAGTGGAAAGAGCGTAGCTGCAGGAAAGCACATCTGGCTAAAAATAGGCATACGGTGTGTGTATTAAATTAATAATACAAAATCATCCTCATGTTGTTGAGTGTATCTTATATGTAGGTTTTCACTGTCTCTTTATTTTTTAAATCCTTTTCTAAAACATTTTTGCAGTGATGTGGTAAAAATATTGTCAGAGATGACCTAAAGTATTTTTATTTAATTAGTAGGTATAGTCTTTTATTGCAACAGTTCCTTAAAAAATAACAATTAAATTCTATTTTTTCCAGCCTATGTTGTATGCCACAATTCTTACTTTGGATTTCTCTAGAATCTTTGGTCCTTTTTAATTCTGAGTACTCCATTCACATCGAATGCACCAAACTGATAACTTTGTACGGAGCTACAAAATAAAACGTCCTTGTTTTACTCAGCCACAGTCAGATTATAGTTTAAATCTTTTGCACTCTTACAAATGTATCACAAACTTATGACAAAAGCTGATAATGTGTATGACTGTGGCAGTATGAAGCTCAGAAGTTTTAATGAGGCCTTCAGAATACCTCAACATTTGTATATAACCTATGTGTACCAACTAAAATGGTTCATAAGTGTTTTCCTAAAAAAGAATATGTTGTTTTACTTTCTTGCTATAATGATATTTGTTTATTGTCCTAATAATACTCAGATGTAACTGTGGGTGCTACCACAGTGGTTTTTCATGGTTGTGCTTTTTTGTAAACTTCTTATCAGCAGGATTTGTTCTGATTTCCTTTTCCCTACATAATTTGCACATTTCTTATCACTCTTGGTAAAACTATTAGTTGTGTTGCTTTTTATTATCAGGTCATTCTTGTGTTAACTGTTTCTGCATTAAAATGTTTTTAATGGGTAGCTTCAACTACAGTTTAAACTACAAATAAAGCTTGACCAATGGCTGTGGCAAATCACAACTAACAGAGCTGGGCCCTCAAGCAGGACCTAATATCGTAGCAATATAATACATTCTAACTTTTACACTTCAGAACATTAGTTTAATCAATTACGTCAGTTTCACATTTCAAAAACGTCACTGCTATTTACTACTTGTACTACTGTTCCTACTTCGCAGTTTTTCACTTATCGTGGGGATCCAGGGTACGGATATCCCCTATTAAGTGTAAAAAAAAAACCAGCACTAGTATCACACCAGACACTAAAATACAGACATGCAAGGAAAGATTTCTCTATTTAAAAACTAAAAATGCCAGATTTAACTGATATAAGAAGAAGTCTAAACAATTTGCTGGAGTCTTGAAATGTAGAAGTCTGCTCTGGGTGAGTAGGTGATGAACTGTAGCACTTGGAACTGATGGAGGAAAATAAACATCTGTTTAATTAAATCAATCAATCCAGTGTACTGTGAGTGGGATGGGGATTTAAATTATGCTTATAAGAAATTGATTCATCTAGTATAATGCCTTTATTGGCCTTTGACAGCACAACAGCAAATATTGGAGGAAAAATAGAACCCCAAATCTTTTTTTTTTTTTTATTAAATTCTATTATATATGCATTTTGTTAGAAGAGATATATGGATGCAGTTAGAGAGTGATGACATAGGATGCAGAGGACAGAGTGAGATGGAGGATGACTCACTGTAGAGAACCCTGAAGAGGAAAAAGCCAAAAGAAGTTTTGATTTATACAATACATCTTGAGTTTACGTCGTACTTTTTGTTTCGTCCGAACATCGCTGATGGAGGGACAGACAGAAAAGTGGATTTAAAGGGTTTGCAATAAAGAAAAAAAAAAAAAAAAACTCACTGACCAAAAGTAAGCACACACACACACACACACACACACACACAATGTTTGACTGCATGTGAACTCCATGTGATCTGGCCAGTTAGGAACAGAGACATTCACTTTATATAACCTAAAGTTCTTGTTATTTAGATCAATACTTTTTGATTTTCTGCTCATCTTCTTGTTCTCAATTTAAAATGACACGGGGTGATGAATCTAGCCACCCTTCTGCAGACATTTGTAGGTGTGGGCACTTGTATTGCTGGACTGGAAC